GTTATTCACTTCACCTGTCAGTGCTCATAATGTTGTCTGACCGGTGTGTGACCACTGAATAGACACTTTCCCAAAAGGCAATAGATCACGATAGGCTATAAAACTGAAAAGCAAACATATATGTATTGCACTGTATTAAGCAGTAAACATTGGTATGGGTGATGCGTTTCCATTCACATGCCCTACAACGGTGGGGAATCGTAGACACACCGTCCTTTTTCTTACCCATAACTCTCTCCTCTGCTGTTGTAGGTGACCGGGAATTTGAATTGTTCTTAAGCAACTGAGTTAAAGGATGCAAGCAGGTTTTCCAGCTCCTGTGTTTCATTTGTGCTCACCATAGTCTGACTGGCTCACAGGCCAATCAGCTTGCTGTCTAATCTCAGCACGCTGCATTTGGAACTTGCACTTCTTCTTTGGTGAATCAGATTCAGAATCAGAAATACTTTAATAATCCCCGGGGGGAAATTACTTAGCATTGCGTGCATCAATTTAGACTACATACTTTAATTGAGTGTGAGCTGGTGTCATTAATCCCTGTAAACCCATTGTACACACTGTGTCCAGCACTAAATAGCAAAGTTACCAAGTGGTTGGTGAGAGAGTTGGCGAAAAGTACAGACAGGCCAACAAGAATTCAAATATTATATCACTATGTTGCTCTGTATCTGTGGCCTGTGTAAGTAGTCATTTCTTTTCTAACAAATAAACCATCAAAATTGCCAATAAATATGCCAATAATGGCAGTCTGTTGAACAACTCTAACTCCGCCCCCCTTTACACCTTGCATTAAAAAATATCAAGATTGTATCTAGATGTTATTTTTACCTGATTACATTTACACCTGGTATTAATATGTGTCTCCAGTGTCTGCATTGAAATGGAATCACTTTGTCCAGCTGAAATGTTACAGCACGGTATGCACTATTATGACTTTCAGGCAAAAGTAGTCGCCAGTTAGTCAACGCTTTCGGCTGAAAGCTGCGGAACGATGTGGCAAATTGTATAAATTAGCAGACTAGCTGCCGTTTTCTACCACGAGGCTGTGACTGGGTTTACAGTCGAGAGTTTTTCCAGAGCGAATGAGGCGGAGGCTACGTGACTTCTCCTGTGTGGTATTGTAATCCTGGGTTGTGAATTTGGGGATCGTGAGTAGCGCTGCTTCTGCTACGTCGAGTCTCTTCAGCCTCGTCTCTCTGGGACGCTCTCTGAACTGAGCAATACTGAACATGACGTGATGATGTGAAATACAAATCAACTTGCTGCAAACTGGCTCCTTTCTCTCTATCTATCCCCCTCTCCCTCCTGTCAGAGGCTGAGTTCGGTCCCAGCCGTGGTCACTGGGAGGTTAATGAGCCTGTTGCCCACTTGACGCCCTCTGGCTATGGTGCTCATTCCGGCCAGGCTCTCCGACAGTCCAGAGCTCCTATGCTAGTGGTGTAAACAACCACTAAGACTCTTCTCGTTGTTCTCAGTTTACCTGACCATTAGGGGACATCCCTAATTATTAGAATGCATGAAACAAATAAATGACTGTATAAGGATCATAAAAAACCAAGTATGGCTGGCTGACGAGCACAAGTGCCGTTATCTGCAGATAAGCAACAAAAAAACAGCGAGCCCGTCTCTGTGAATGAAGGGTAACATTAGACAGCCTGCTGCATTCTTATTGGTGCACTGATGCTGATGAGGTTTACTCCTTAGGTAGTGAAATTTGGTACCCAGCCCTGCATTCTTCTCTATTTTGCGCTGGTCCAAGAAATTACACAGAGATCGTAGCCACCTGTGAAGCTGTGCTATTGACTTCTAATACATGTTTGAAGTGGGAAACAAGCCGTCTTTACCTTCCAGTTTGTGAAAGTTGAGTGCTGTCTTTTGCTTTTACCTTAGCTTTGGTCGGTGCCACCACTGTCCATTTAGAGAACCATCTGGATGTGTGTACGCAACAAACTGGTGAGAGAGGATAGTGACGGGACCTTCATGGATTAAAAACGGCGTGGCACACCGAAGTACAGTGTTGTGCAAGGTCACACTTAACAAGAGCTAGCTCAAAATTCTGTTCAGAGATTAAAATGAACTAGTTGAGTGTCCATGCAGTGATTTATTTTTCTCTGTTTGGTATAGTTTGCACTAACTTTCTTCATAATGTACTCCTTTCTGTTTTAATTTTACTAGTTTATATTGAGTTCAACAGTGCTTGACTTCAAGTTCATTAGTTGCAGATATGCTTAGTTCGTTATTTACCAAAAACATTACCGCGTTCAATAAACAGCACTTTTAAGCGGGTTCATGCACAACACTGCCTGCATGCACCTTAGAACATTTGATTTATTTCAGGCTGCAACAGGTATGTCTTACCACCCCTTTACTTCTCTGCTTCTTGGTACTTACTCAGTCTGCTGTTAAATTAGTCGTGTTATAATATGCAGATATAATAGGACCCAAGCACAGTTTAAGTAAAGTTGTATGGATGTAGATCTGTTACCCATTGCCCATTATGTACAGTATGTACAGAGTAAGATGTATGTTTTTTTAAATATGTGTTTGTAGCTAGGCAGG